CAAGAATTTGAAATGTTCGCATTTGACCCACAGTTACTTATCAGTAGTGTGTGTCACAGCGGCAACACACACGCATGGGTCAGGAGTTCAAATCCCAGATGGGACGGTGGATATGCACTAGTGATGAGATCTAATAAGAGACAAACTGGAGTCTAGTGCTTCCGAGTGTATGGTTAAATCGATGAACTCAGGATTGTGCGTGAAGGTGAAGTCCGAAGGGTAGTCAGTCAAATCAATCAATTTGAAATGTGGCTCAAAGTTCTTTCGGTATTACGAAAACGCGCTGCATAATTAGAATCTACTAACATGAAAACAATCTTTCTGGAAAGATCTTTACCAAATATGGTTTCATCAAGACACGGTGAGAGGGATCTTACAGTGTTTTTCACAAAATTGATCGACCGAAATTTTGATTCTTATTATTCTTGGTAATTGTTACACCAAAAAATATTTATATGCACAACGATGTGAATAATGAGGAAACGCAATTTATCATGTAATGCTACACAAATATCCTTCCCCTAAGAAAGCTGTTTCATACTTAGCAGATAACGTTTGTAATGCGCTTCCATTGTGGCAGATTGTGACGGCTGGAACTCCGATATCCATTGTCATATCCCACACGTAACCAATAGGTTAGCCTCAGTGATGGATTTACTGGAAGCAAAACATGATGTGTTTTTCGTCCGTCCGTCCCTCTTACTTAACATGGAACACCGTCACTTAGGCAGAGAGAGAGAGAGTTTTTTGGTTCGTACATCTCACTCGTCCTTCGCTGGGATCGAACGTGCAATGTCGAACCACTGAGCAGGTTACTTGAATCAGGTCAGTAGTAAGAAAATGAACGCATAAAAACCAAATTGAGCGTATCAGACGTGAAAAAATGAACATATTGTTGTAAAGCTCTTTCACCTTCGCAAGTCCTTACAATCACATGTATGCAGAAGAATAATGTGGTGAAGTCTAACGGTTGAGGTTAGTAAATGATGGATGATGGATGGGTGCTAATCTGGTTCCAATGATATTGCCGACCATGCTGATCTGACTCACGTGATTTCGCACAGAGGAGGGGGTGGGCAAACTGGCTATCATCAGTATTCTGTGTAAATGCTCTTGGAGCCTAGATTATACAGCTGACGTAATATTTTTCTTTCTCAGTTTGCACGATTTATAGTTGTGTGTGCATATGATACATTCAGCTGACATCAACTGATGACACTGTACTGACGGATCAGTGTAGACGTAGATGAGAAAATGCTTGTCCATAACGGAGTTGTGTAATAATCGGAAAAGAAGTGGGGAGCATAGTTTGAATAGAGAGGATAAAAACAGGTTTGCACAAATATTAATACAATGTATCCTGGATCATTTCGCGGCATCTGAAATACACCGAGATACTAGCCTCTCAAAATTACCATCCCAAACTGCGTAAACAACGTGAATGGCTTATCACTCTGGTACTACCCTGAGAACAAATGTGTTCGGTGAGTAATTTTGACCGCAATCTTTCTCCGCATATGATTCTGTTATTCATTGACCATATATTAGCCATCACATAAACTGCCGTTTGCACGTGTACAGATGCAGATGTTGTTGGAGACAGAGAGTTTTGCAAATGTCTTTTTGGTCACCTAGATTCAATATGTGGTTGCTCAGGATTGAAGAGTGCCGGGATCACTCACTATACAATTGCTTCATCTGGCTTGTTGAGACGCATGCTCACCGAACTCGCTGAGTTTCGAACCCCAACACGGGGATCTGGTAACCGTACGCGCCGACTATTTTAGTGATCAAAGCTAAATTACCCAAACCGTTTCTGTAGAACCAGTTGGAACTGAATATGTGTGCAGGTATCTCGCACAATAGCAACAGCAGTATTCTGTATCAGGAACTAGATCACGGTCGGTTTAAGTCTGGCAAGGTTTTTTTGTTACACATCTAAATGTGATGAACAACAGAGGGGGCGAACCCCATAGTCACGAGGACTTGCTGTTCAGTGGTGGAAACCGGCCACCTAAACCTCGGTACTTGGAGTGTGACGAACCACCTAAGGCCCCTATAGGTTAGGCGTGATGTTGAACCGGACGACAGCAAAGCTGCCTACCAACAAATTCGGGTGGCGGTGACGGTGGCGATGACGGTGGCTGTGCTCGAACCTCGGACCACGGGGTCCAAAGCACGCCGGTGACTGCCACTAAACCACTGCGCCACCATCACGATACTGGACGATACTGGAAGCTGAGTTTGATTTCATGTGTGTACGGAATGCAAGAGATGAAAAACCGGGTAGAGTATTGGATTGTCAACTATTCGTTTTCGAGTTCAAATCACATTGGTTTTGATGGACATGTACTTGTGATAATTCTCCATGGGCCGGGTGAAACGACTCTGCGATGCTCCTTGGGGTTTTCAGTCGATTCTCAGACAAATTATAAATCAAAGAATACTCTCTTCCCTGGAGATATATTGACTCTTGATAGCTGCTTGTGTGTGTGTGTGTGTGTGTGTGTGTGTGTGTGCGAACGACCACATCAACTAATCACGCAAGTGTCACATTGAAAGCTACTCGCCCCACTTGGGCTCTTTCAATGTTGCATTCCACCCCAATGAGTTTATCATCGCAGGTGTAAAGTCCAATAGCGCTCACCCGACAATGTACAAGCACAGATTTCATCATGGTTGTTGTCTAAATCCTTCCCTTTCTCAAGGCCCTTGGCAAAACTGGATAATTTGCAGCCACTGTTTTACTTACCCCACCCAATCTGGAAAGAAAATAGTTGTGTTTATTTCACAAGAAATTGGCGTTGAATATGGATGGGTTCACTAAACTGGACGATTATCACTTTTGTTGTTGTTGTTGATAAAACTAAGAACAAAACAAATTTTGCATTTAAATTGAAACGAATCTATCCGGTTGAACTTCAACCGTGAATCACGCACGTGCGCACGCATTCATACACATAAAGGAAACGTTCACAGTTGCTTGAAATATTCTCAACTCGTGTGTGCGCGCGCCCGCATCCGTGCATGCGTGTGCATAAATATACATATATCAACATACTGTCCCGATCCAATGTAGTCCACAAAAAACTATCTCTAGCTCATCCCATTCTCAGCTGTAGCGGTTGGTCTACATAACGTGTGGGCGTGTGTCTTATGCGTAACACCTAACCTATATTGATTCAACGAACGCCTCCCTGCGCTGGAGAACACCCGTTTCGGCGGGCGCGAGCGAACAGGTGACCTTTTTGTACCGACGCTCGGACAACTCCAATCCTGAGCCAAGCTGATCACGAGAACCAATAGCCGATAGGTGTTAGACAAACAGGCTAGGAATTGATTTGTCGTCTCTCTCTCTTCTCCTACCTCCCGAGGGATTGTTGCTCACACGCACACACACACTGTCTGTCGTGATCACCCCCTCCCACCCCACCTCACTTACTCATTTGATATCAAATGTGCCATTCAGACGAGGGCAAAAAACAACAACAACAACCTATACACGGAAAGCGAGCGAGACCTACAGGGTATATGCTCTCTTTCTCTCTCTCACACACACACACACACATTCATGCATCACATAGCTTCTGATGTTCCCTTTCTTGCACAAATTCTCCACCACCCTGGGGCTTATGCGGACATAACTAGCGCGCGAGGGCACGATAACACATACATGTGGATGAATGCAAACACATGTTAGCGAATCTGCGTTGTTTTTCCTTCGACTGTGCGTAGGTACGAGCGGACGCGCACGCGTGCGCACACGGCCGCATATATAGCACACACACATACAAAACATCCATGCACACCCCGGAAAAGCATATGCACTAACACATACAAACATAATAATAATGAATGCACGAGGACAAAACGGGTGACATACCACGATTCTGATTGGTCTACTGCATCATTCAATCCGGCCAGTCTGACTGAGAGCGAGAGAGAGGCAGAGAAAACGAAAGCACAGGAA